GTAGGACTGAATATCTGACAGACCAGTTTAAGGGAAGATTTATTTTAACTCACAGTTTCAGAGAATACAGTCTGTCACAATGGGGAGCAACTGTATTGGCAGGAGCATGTGGCAACTGCCTTTTACATGTTGCCAAATGGGAAGCAGGGAGAGGTGAATATTGACACTCAGTTCTCTTTGTCTTTTATCTCATCCTGGCCCCCAGCTCATGAAATGATTCTGCTCATATTCGGGATAGGTCTTTCTTCCTCAGCTAATCCTCTCTGATAACACTGAAGAGGTGTGCCTCAAACCCCAGGTAATTCTGAATAAAATCAAGTCGACAATGAAAGTTAGCATGATTGCAGGTATTGCTGTAAAACAATTATGAACTTAAAGGATAACTAGAAACATCCACCCCTCTGGGAGTTTGTGGAGCACACTTTTAACCCCAATAGTAGAAAGCTGAAACAAGAAGATCACCAGCTTGAGGCTAGCCAGGAATAATTAATTAGTGAGACCTTGTTTTACAAAATCAACAAAAACGTTCTGCCTCCAGCCCACTTAAAGACACATGGGGTTGAGTTTAACTTGAAGTAGCTGAAACAGCACTACAGCAAAAGAAGAGAGATTATACATGCACTGTTTTTCTGTTTTTCACAGCCTTACGTAGCCCAGCCTGGCTTCAAAAACACAATGTAGTGAGGCAAGTCTTGAACTCCTGATCCTCCACCTCCCAAGAACTGGGATTGGAGATATATACTCCTATGCTCAGATGAAATAATGTTTTCAAAATACTTGGCACTGTGCAGTAAGAGCCAGTAATCTCTGGAGATGACTGACAAATAAGATAAATATTAGATTTCTAGACCTGACTTCTTTGAGGAGTTTCCATGCCATAGCACAGCAAAGGAGAAACTGAGGCCTGGAGCCTAATGGACCTCCTGGGTCATGGTTATGGAACAGAGAATGTAGAGACTGTTGGACTGAGTACCAAAGAGAGGAAAGGAGCAAAGAGAGAGACCATGGATGTCTGTAGGCATTCAGAACACTGACCAACATGTGAGGACTGAAATACTCTAAAGATTAAAGGGATTAGTCTGTTCCCTCCAAGACCAAATTCATGGAGCACATAGTAAAATATTCAAGAGCATGGCATTTCAGTGGTGGGAAATAGCTCTAGGCTGAACACTTCTCCAGATTCCCCAATTAATCATAAAAAGTAAGACCCAAAAGAATCAGACCCTTGTACCTGTGTCCTCAAGCAAGTCGAAGTGGTATTGATAAGAGTATAAGAAGTTAAGCTAGGCAGTGGTGGTGCACACCCTTGGTACCAGCACTCGAGGGCAGACAGATCTCTGAATTCAGAGGCAGCCTGATGAACTCAGAAGCAGAGATGGTTCCAGGACAGTCAGAGAAGCCCTATCTTGAAAAGAAAGGGTGTGTGTGTGTGCATGAGCTCGTGTGCACACTCAGGCACTTTATTCCAGTGTACAGGAAGCAGAGGCAGGATCTGTACATTTGAGCTAGCCTCTTCTACATAGTGAGTTCCAGGATAGCCAGAGCTACATAGGGAAACCTTGTCTCAAAAAACATACATACATACACACACACACACACACACACACATACATACATACATACATACATACAAACATACATACACACAAACAATGAAATAACAATATCCAGCACCTAACACTGAACATCATAAGATCTACCATCTTATCAAAGATTACCAGGTGTATGCATTTGCTCAAGTTACAGCAAAGTAACTGCAAACTTTGTGACTTAAATGACAACCTCCTCACAATCATGGAGGCTGGGCTTCTAAGGTAAAGTTGTTAGCACGGTTGATTTCTGAAGGCTGGCTACCTTCCTTTTTCTTCACGTAGTCTTTTGTCAATATATGTTCATTAATGTTTCGGTTTTGTTTAAGACAGCATATTAATGTAATCTAGGTTGGCCTTTAGCTTACTACACTACACAACTGAAATGACTGAACTTTTGCTCTCCCTCCTTCCATCTGTGAAGTGCTGTTTACAGGTATGTACCACCACTTCCAGCTCCAACATCAGCCTTCCTCTCATTCTTCCTTTTTTCTCTTTTGCTCCTCCTCCATCACTTCTCCTTGTTCCCCCTTTTTGTGTTTGTTTGTTTGTTTGTTTGTTTGTTTGTTTGAGACAAGGTTTCTCTATGTAGCCCTGGGTGTCCTGGAACTCACTCTATAGACCAGGCTAGCCTTGAACTTGAAGATGATCAAAAGTGTCACTCCTGCCCGGCTTAATTTTTTTTCCCCAATTCCTTCTTAAACACATTAATCATAGTAGATTAGTGCTAACCCAATTGATCTCAGTTTAGCACAATTAATCCTTTAAAGACCTATCTCTAAATATAGTTACATTCCCTAACACTGCAAAAACTCCAAAACTATATTAAATAGGCACCCAAGTTAGTAGCAACAGTAATAATATTTTAAAGAGATCAATGCACAGTGACAAGGAGATCCATTAATGAAGAGGTCCTAGCAGTAATAAATGGTTATGCACATAGTTGGCAGAGCTTCCAAATATACATCCTAGTTACTTTTCTCCTCACTATAACAAAATACTTTGCAGAGTCAACAAAGTGTGTTTTGGTTTAGTTCAGTTTATCATAGCAGGGAGAGCATGGTAAAGTTCTTGGCAGTGTTCATGGTGGCAAGACTATGTGGCTGAGGCTCCTCATAGCTTAGCAGATCAGGAAGCAGAGATATGATGGATCAAGGCAGGCTATAAAGTACACTCCCAGTGACCCTTCTCTGCCAGATCTTGGTATATCCACACAGTAGAATTGGGAGGGAGGGAGGGAGGGAGGAAGGGAGGGAGGGAGAGCTGACTCAGCACAATGGTTACTCTGCAATCCTGGATTTGTATTATATGCATTTACAAAAAATCCTCAATGTACAATAGCAAATATGAACCCTCATCTAAACTATGAACTCTGAACACAAATATATTGATGCAAGTCCTTCAGCAGACAAATGTTCTACTCTGTGGGAGATACTGGGGATATAGGGAAGGCTGTACAAATATACAGAGAGGAGTATATGAGAAATCTCTCTTGCTTCTATTTCATTTTGTTGTCAACTTAAAACTTCTCTAAGAAACTAGGATTTGTTTGTTTTTTGGGTTTTGTTTTTTTTTTTTTTTTTTTTTTTTTTTTACTTTTTACTGATTCTTTGTGAGTTTTACATCATGGACCCAGTCCCACTCATTTCCCCATCCCTCAGATCCGACCTTCACCCTTGCAACCTCCCCTCCAAAATAAAACACACAAGCAAACAAAAAGAAGAAAAAACAAAGCATAGAAAAAAATCTATGGCCACCCTATGCTGTAATTGGTAGGAGCCACTCTCCTGCTTCCATGTCCTTGGGGTTTGCTCACCCACACCCACACCACCAGAGCCAGCTCCACTGTACTGCCCAGTCAAGGTGTGGGGCCCACTCCCCCAAGTGCTGCAGCCTGTGAGGGGCTGAGGCAGCTCTCCTGCTCTCACACCCTTGGAGCTGGCTCACCCGTGTCTTCACCATCAGCACCAGCTCTACTCTATTGCCCAGGCAAGGTGCAGGGCTGTGTTCTTCCAAGTGCTACAGAGCCAGCTCCCTGACCCTCATGACCTCAGACAGGGTCAGTTCTAGCTGCAGGTGGTGAGGGGTGAGTGGGGGAGGACTTCACCTCTGCACCTATGCCACCTCATGGCAGATGAGTGATGGGGCCAGCTTTCCTTTGCCCTCACCCTTTGGGCTGGCTCACCCATTCCCCTTCAACCAAGACCATCCCTACAGTGCTGCCCAGGGTCCATTTTGCATGAGTGCTCCTACCAGAGAAGGGCAGGGCCAGCTCACCTGCTCTCATGATTCCAGGGTCACTTCTTCCAACTGCCTCAAGTGGCAAGGGGCAAGGGGGCAAAGGACATCTCTCCCCCGGCCCAGGCTACCTCATGGCAGAGCCAGCTCTCCCATGCTCCCTCCTTTCGAGCCAGCTCACCTGCACCCCCTCTGTGCTGCCCAAGCAAGGTGCAGGGCCCCTTCTCCTGGGTGCTGCAGCTGGGGAGGGGCAGGGCTCGGCTCTTCTGACCCAGGTGGTGACGGTCAAGGCATCATCCCTAAACCCACACCACCTGATGGCAGATGCTCTCTCTCCGAGCTGGCTCACATGCACCCCTGCCACCAGGATCGTTTCTGCTATGCTGTCCAGGCAAGATGCAAGGCTAACTCTCCCAAACTCATGACCCTGTGGGCAGCTTTCCTGACTCCTGGTGGTGGCAAGAGGCGGGTAGGGGGCACATCACTTCTGTGCCCATGCCACCCCACGGAAGATATGTGGCAGGATCAGATCTCCCACACTCATGCCCTCAGGATTGGCTCACCCAGACCCCTTCACCAAGACCAGCTCCTCTGTGCTGCCTGTACTAGACACAGGGCCTGCTCTCCTGAGTGCTGCTGATGAGAAATGGGGCCAGCTATCCTGAACACTGAATCCAGTAGAGGGCAGGGACAGTTATTCACAGCCCCTGGACAACCATGTGTTTCCTAGCATCTGCCCCAACCAGGGACATCCCCATGTTCTCTAGTGGTAATAGAGCCACAGACATTGACACTGACTCTTTCCACTATGTAGCCTTAGACTCAGACTGGGACCTCACCATGGCCTCAGGAGGTGGGTCTGGCCACTCATAAAAGGCTACTCCTCTCTACCCTTTTGTCTCCAGTTCCGTCTCTCTTCACAATTCTCAAGCTGTTCCATTTCTCTTTCATCTGACCACCACATACTCACACATTGTGGTGGCTCACATAGCTGGTGGGCCCCTGGGCAATATCTTCCATCTGTGCTGTGTGCGTGGTGGCAAGCTGGTGTCTATGGCCTGCCTGTGCCGAGCTGGAAGGCAGGTCTATGTGTGGCATGTCGGTCCACAGATCTTTGTATGCCTTCCTTCTCATGTGCTGCACTGCCTGGATTTGACTTTATTTGATTGATTTTTATGAGTCCTAGGCATGAGACAGCTTTGGCTATCAAGCCAGGCATCAGGCTAGGATGAACAAAGGACTGCCATCTGCTCTGCCCCTGACTGATGTAACATCACCACCACCAAGGTGTCTCTTTGCCCATTGCGAGGGGGTGAAATTAGGTTTTTAAAAGAGAAAAATTAGTATTGACAGGGCCAACAGGTGGTGAACAGCATGGATCCTCAAATATGCTGTGTGAAGACACAAAGATTCAAAGTCATCTCTAGTGACAGAAAGTTAGAGCCACAGACATTCAAAGTTGGAGGGGTTGAGAGGGAAGCATGAGAGGGGCTGGAAAAAGGACTACAGACAGGCCTCTTGGTTATCTTTACTTTGGTGATGGAATTTAAGCTCAAACTTAGCAGATTATACACTTTACGTAGTTAGTGTGTCAATTATATCTCAGTAAAGCTGGTTTTTTTTTTGCGGGGAGTGGGGGTTCAAGACAGAGTTTCTCTGTGTAGCCTTGGCTGTCCTGGAACTCACTCTGTAGACCAGGCTGGCCTCGAACTCAGAAATCCACCTGCCCCTGCTTCCCAAGTGCTGGGATTAAAGGTGTGTACCACCACTGCCTGGCAGTAAAGCTGTTTTTAAGGCTAAGTAAACATTACAGTACTTTTGCATGAGTTTGAAGGAAAATATCTAACTTTAGTCTAGTCTGTGGTAGGATTCTGTTTTATTCCTATTGGCTGTTGGTGTTTGTAAGCCTTGTCCAGGTAATCTGAAACACCATGGAGAAAGTAAGGTCATGTTTCCTTTGTGTTTTTTTGTGTTTTTCTGACTATGTTTTTTTCATTCCAAATAAGGATTCAGTGGAATGGAAAGAATGGGCAGGGATGTGAGCTCATTACCAAATAGAGGACAGACCTGGACATGCCATTTGATAGCACTGAGTTCATTTACCACTTCTCCACTATGGGAGCATGATCTATGCTTCCTTCCTTGCTGGCTGTACTAAGTAAGAGTCAACACATTCATATCATTGGCCTGTAAGAATCAAGTTCTGTAGTTTGTTTACCCCATCTGTTAACCCATCTAGGATTTCTGAAATGTAAAAGATGGTCACAGAAAACACCAGTTTTGGCTACTCCCCCCTGATGACAGTGGCAAGCCATCTCTGGGTGAGCATGCCATTCTGTATTAAGGAGATAAAATTATTACTCAGCATGCCTGTGACCCCAGCAGTCAGGGCAAAGCAGGAGGATTGACATGGGTTCAGGACTGAGCTTTGTAATGAGCTCTAAGCCCAGCTGGACAGTAGAGTGAGACCCCACCTCAAAAACAAACCTAACCAAGAAAACCCAGTAGACAGGAATATGTGGGTTTCATATGTATAAGCCAGTGGTTGTTAGACAAAATAAAAGATTTTTAAAAGCAATTTTAAAATTACCTAAAAGGACACGTAGGGGAAAATGCAGAATCAAGGAGGACATTTGAGCAGAAAAGGAAAGACTCAACAGATGTTAGGGTACACTATTCTTGAGTAGCTGAGATCAGAGTGATAAACTGCCTAGTCCCTCTGGATGATTTTCTAGAGCAGTTCCAAGTTGATTCTCTGAGGCTAAGACTTCCAGAGTAGCAAGACCCTCTGCAGATGAAGGTGGTAGGTAGGCTGGGTCCATACCTCAGATGAGTAACAGGAAGTGAGCCAGGGCAGGAGATCAGATAGATCCCTTCTGTAAATTAGTGTAGGATAAAGGTCGAGTGAGTAATCCAGGAGAAGGCTAAACTGTTTTTCCTGGTTCTAGAGATCAAGCCCAGGTCCTTGAGCAAGCTAGTTCAATGCTAGTCATGCAGTCTACCAGGTAATTGCAACTTCAGCTTTGGATTCATTCATTTAGTGGTTTGTTTTTGTTAAGTTAGGCTGATCTCAGTGATTTCCAGGATAGCCAGGACTACACAGTGGGATCCTGGTTTGTTTGTTTGTGTGCATGTTTGTTGTTGTTATTTTTTTAAGATTTATTTATTTGTTTCATGTATGTGAGTATACTGTCGCTGTCTTCAGACACAGCAGAAGAGGTCATTGGATCCCATTACAGATGGTTGTCCGCCATGTGGTTGCTCAGGACCTCTGGAAGAACAGTCAGTGCTCTTAACCACTGAGCCATCTCTCCAGTGTGTGTTTGTTGTTTTTAATATACAAATGGAACGGAGTTAATTAAGTTAAAAAATATTGGAAGAAAAGATGAATGAAAATTTTTTATAATTTTGATATGAGAGGCCTTTTCAGTTATGAAAATGTTATTAATATATGTTCATTAAACAGCATAGCAGTCTTCATTATGATGTTGAGGTATATACACTGATTAATATATTCCAAATGAGAACACTGACCTGTCTTTTTTTCCCTGTGGATTCTATCCAAGCTGTTTCGGAAGCTAAAGCAGTTTCAGGAATAGCACCATAAAACATGTTCAAAGGCTTTGTGAGGAAGTCCCCATAACTACAAACCAGAGCCCACACCACCTACATGAGGAAAGGTGCAAACTCACCTCAGCTCTTCTCGTTTGTGCTACATTAAGCCAGTCTACCCCAAAGTGTTCATGTTTACATGTTTTTTTTTACTTTTCACTTTTCAGGGGGTGGGGCAGGGAGTGCAAGCTTTTGAACGTGTGATCCTTCTGCTTCAGCTTCCTCCCAAGTGCTGGGATTGTAGGCGTGGGTCAACATGCTCCACTTAAACTGGACTTTAGACATAAGAATCCTTACATCATGCATGGAATCATAAAAAATGAATAGTTACAAGGAACTAACTGCTCTAAAAAAGAGCTCCCAAGAATTGGGATAGATGGTTTGGCAGTTAAGAGCAGTTCCAGGGGGATCTGATCACCACTTCTGACCTACAAGGCATGCGATGCATATGATACATGCTGGCAAAACTCTCATAAAGTAAAATAAAGAAGTCTCTTAATTTTTAAAGCTTCTAGTAACTGAGAAGAAGGAAGATCAAATTGCAATGGATATTGTATTGTGCGAAGGACCTAATTAAAAACCAAAATCAACTCAGCACATGAAAGGACACTCAAGTACATTTTGTTTCTTCTCCTTGCTAAATTCCTCCCTCCCCTCATACGTAGGATACAGCCCAGGGTCTCAAAAGTGGATAGGCAGTTGCTCTACCAGTGAGCTACACCCTAGCTCTGCTTTTGATTCTTAATTATAGAATGCCCAAAGTTCACCAAGATGGCCGTTTCCACCCATCAGACTGACAACTTTGGCAACTGCTTTGCTTTTGAGGGAAGCAAGGGTTTGGGAGGGTAATCACTTTGTAATTACAGATAAAGATTTTGATCTAAGAGTTTTCGTTTAGGACTGTCCTAGACCTGCCTATACCTGCGTGCACAAAACTATGTATGTATAGAGTGATCCATTGTGGTGGAGTTTGCTCAAAACAACGTTATTGCTCAGAGTGGAAGAATGCTTTTTCAGTGTTTGTCTTGTTGGTCTATTGAGGTAGAAGAGCAAGAAAGCCATATGGGTTGATATAGAAAAATTCCTGGATAATGTTATAGAATGTTAAAAAAAAAAAGGAAGAAAACATTTATGCTGTGTAGTATGCTCCCTTTAAGAGGGAGGATTTATTTAGAGCATGTGCATAGAGCCCAACTTTATAAAAAGTAATAGGGCATTGAGCTTTAAAAAGCATAGTACCGCTATACCAGGATATTAGTATCAGCTTGTTTAGCATCATGTGATGGGAGGTGAATTTTACTTTTCATTTCATGTTTTTTACAACTTCCCTTTTTTCCCCCCTGCATTTATATACTGTTTTCCCTGGAAGATTCTTGTACCAAATTACAGCCTCCTGTCATGTAGGGATGACTGTGTTTGGTGAGGGTTTTTGTTGTTTTGTTTTGTGGCCTGGTCTCACGTATTTATGCTGGCTTTGAACCCTCCAGGCAGGGAGCATCTGAGCTTTTATGTTAGTGTGTGTGTGTTGGGGCACATGCGTATTATGTGTTTGCATGTGGAGGCCAGAGGCCAATGTCAGGTGTCTTCCTCAGTTGCTTTCCATCTTTTTTATACTTATTTATTTTGTGGGTGGGCAGAGGCCTGTACCACGGCATGTCTTTAGAAACCAGAGGACAATCCATGTTCCACCATGTTTTCCTGGGATTAAACTTAAGTACTCGGGCTTGGTGGCATAAGCCTTTACCCACTGAGCCATTTTGCTAGTCCCACACTATATTTTCTTGAGGTAGTTGTTAATCCTGCCATTCACCAAAAAACCTAACTCCACCATTTTGAAACAAATTTAAAGCAAGTTTTATTAAATATTAAATACTGACCAAGAGGTGAACTTTGATCAGGACCATTCCCCAGCTGAGAAGTCCCAGAATTTCCCAGCTGAGAATGGAGCCAAAGTGTGGCAGGGACTTAAAAGGACAAACCTATAGGCCACTGTACTTTCCCATGAGGCTTTGTCATTTCCAAGAACTACAATTTCTAGCATTCCAGGAAGTTACCTGGTTCCTGGCCAGGTGGGACTTACAGGTCAATTATGGGCATTGCATAGTCTCAATGTATATGGAGCTCATGCATTGTGGTAGACTATCCAGACAGTGAACTCTAGGGATCCTCTTGTCTCTACATTTCCAGTGCTTGGATTATAGATGTGTGCTACCTACTGTACCAGTTTATACATTGCTGAGGAGTGTACTCAGGGTTGTATGTATTTGAAGCAAGCACTCAGTCTCTGGTTTCTTGTTTGATCAGTTCTTTTATTACTATTTTCACCAATATATATTCACCAATATATTCACCAATGCACATCTGGTGCCCTTAGAGACCAGAAGAAGGTGTTTGAGCTCATGTTACTCAGGTTGTGTGTGGTTGGGAGCTGCCATGTGGGTGCTGAGAATTGAACCTGAAACCTGGGAGAGAAGCTAGTGAGTGCTCTTTAACTGATGAGTCATCTTTCAGCCCCTTGGTCTGTTCTTCATTGTAGAATGCTGGGTCCAAGGATAGCTCCCCACTGCAGGTGGGAGGATGGTAACTTTTGGTATGGTCAATAATCTTTTGTTCTGAGAATAATTCCAGTATAGTTGCTCCTTGGCCCAGCATGTTTTTGAAATTAGGGGCTTTTGAAATTTTACTGTCACGGCCTCCTGTG